ACCACCGATGCTCAGTAGCAGCAGTGTATACTGTCTACAAGATGCACTGCAGAAATTCACCAAAGACCCTCAGACAGCACCTTCGAAACCCATGACCACTTTCATTTCGAAGGACAAGGGCATCAGACACATGGGTACACCACCACCTCCAAGTTCCTCCTCCAAGTCACTCATCATCCTGACTTGGATATATATCGCCATTCCTTCATTGTCACTGGGTCAAAATCCTGGAATTCCCTCCTTAAGGGCATTGTGGGTCAACCTACAGCAGGTGGACTGCAGCAGTTCAAGAAGTCAGCTCACCACCACCTTCTCAAGGGGCAACTAGGGATGGGCAAGAAATGCTGGCCGGCCAGCCAGCGACGCCCACATCCCACAAATGAAATGGAGTGTATTTAGGAAGGAAATGGAGAGTATGCAGGCCCGACATGTTGCTCCTATATGTTACCCAAAAGAGATCAAGCCGAGAGAGCCCTGAATGTCTAGGAATATTCAGGACTGGATGAGATGGAAAAGAGAAGTTTTTACAGTTCCAAAGGAAGCAAATTAATGAAGACTCTAGGAGTGTATAGAAGTGCAAGGGGAGTCTTACAGTAATTGGAAGAGCGCAGAGGGGGAATGAAGAAACAATGACAAGCAAAATTTTGGAGATTTCCCAAGATATTCTCAAAGTATATTAAGAGGAAGAAGAGATGCAAGGAAAGTAGGACCCTTGGGAATCTGTGTTTTGGATATTGTCGGGTACTTCATTCAGGAGGAGGATTTTCAGGTACAGAATTTGAGGAAAGGGACTGTGAGGTTATTAAACAGATTGACATAGGCAATGAGGAGATATTGGACGTTTTAACAGGCTTAAAAGTGAGCAGATCCCTGGATCCCGATGAGTTATATCACAGGCTGCTGTGGGAGAGAAGGGAGGAAGTCATCGGGGCTCTGACCCAAATTTCTAATTCATCAGTGTTCACAGGAGAAGTGCCAGTGGACTGGAAGACAGCTAATGTGGTTTCCCTATTCAGGGACGGTGTTAGAGATAAACCAGGGAGTCTTACATCAGTGATAGGGAAGCTATTAGAGAATATTCTGAAGGAGGAAATTAATCTCCATTAAGACAGGCAAGGTTTGATCAGGCATAGTCAGCATGGCTTTGTCAAAGGGAGGTCATGCCTTACAAATCTGATTGAATCTTTCAAGGAGGTGTTAAGATGTGCAAATGAACCAAGTCCAGTTGATGCAGTTTATATTGATGTCAGCATAGCTTTTGAAAAGATCCCACGTGGGACACTGATAAAGAAGATGAAAGCACAGAATCCAGAGGAACTTGGCAAAATGGATCCAAATTTGAATCGGTGATAGGAGACAGAGGATTGTGGTAGAAAGCTGTTTGTGTGACTCGAGGTCAGTATCTAGTGGTATGCCACAAGGATCAGTATTGAGTTCCTTTATTGTTTGTGATAAATATAACTGATAGAGATGAGAGTGTGAGGAGGGTGATATGTACATTTACAGATTACAGAAAGATTGGCCGGGTGGTTAATAGTGTGGAGCAAGGTCTTGGGTTCCAAGAGAATATGGATAGGTTGACCGCGTGAGCAGATCAGTGGCAGAGAATTTAACTCGTAAAGTGTGAGGTGATGCACTTTGAAACGAGCAACAAGACAAGTAAATACTCAGTGAATGGCCAGACATTCGGAAGCTCAGAGAAATTGAGGTCCTTCACCACAGATCCCTGAAGTCGGCAGTGCAGATTAATGGGGTGGTTAAGGAGACATATGAGACACTTGCCTTTATCAGTTGTGGCACTGATTGTAAAAGCAGAGAGGTTATATTGGAGCTGTACAAACCTATGGTTAGGCCTCAGTTGGATTACTGTGTGAAGTTTTGGTCACCACACAGTAGCAAGGATGTGACTGTGCTAGAAGGAGTGAAGATTCACCAGGACATTGCCTGGGTTTGAGTATTTTATCTGTGAAGAGATGCTGGATGTACTTGGGGTGTTTTCTTCACAGCAGAGAAGGTTGAGCAGGGACTTGATTATGAGGCGTACAGGATTGAGGAACTCTGATAAGGTGGATAAGAAGCAGCTGTTTCCCCGAGTTGAAGGGTCAGTAATAAGGGGGCGTAATGGTATGGTGAAAGGCAGGGACTTGAGAGGAGATTTGAGGAAACATTTTTCTCACCCAGAGAGTGATGGGAATCTGAGTGCACTGCCTTGGAAGGCAGTAGAGATAAAACAGCTCACACTCTGCTTTAAAAAAAGGACTTGGATGAGCACTTGAAATGTCATCACATTGAAGGCTTTTGGTCAAGTGCTGGAAAGTGGGATTGGTGTAGATAGGTTGGCACAGACCTGATGGGCTGAAAAGCCTCTTCTGTGCTGTACGACCCCTTGATTCTAAACAATCAGCTGGACTGAACTTAGTGAATTAAGTTACCACCAATTGTAGTTTTCAGAGAAGGATTTGGTGTGATATGCAAGCAAAACACTTAAAGGCAAAGACTGTGGTTGTCTAGTTAACAAACTGAGGTGAAAGGTAGTATCAAACTAAAAGTAAAGTTAAAATCTTTGAAGTGAAAGGAACTGTAAAACGTAACAAAGCAATATAAAGAAAGAGACATATAGCCATACAGAATAGCATTTTAAATAAGTCTTGCTAGTGATAAAGATTTCTTGTGAAAGTACTAAGAGACAAGTGTGACTTACCATGGTAGTACATCTCCTTTTAGTTACAAGCAGGGCAAAATTCAGGGAAAGATTATTAATGAGGATAAAGACAAGTGACAGTGAGCATGATCCACCAAAAGGTAATGGCAGACTTAATAAAAGTAGAAATACTTGCATAGACACAGGTTGGTTGATATCTAGAACTCTCTTCCTCAAAAATGCTGCTAAGTTTGGAATCAGTTGATAATCTTGATTTTTTTTTTTCGGTTAAATTTTTGCTAGCCATGGGTATTAAAGTAGGTGGAGTGCCGAAATGCAGAACAGGCTTGAGCCTCCTTTTGAAATGGGTATAATTCCAGAAGGTGATCCCCAAGCAATAGGGATTTGTAATTTTTTCTCATGGACCCACTCCCTTTCTTTGTTATCTTTTGTAGGTTTGTCTGTTTAATCCCAATTCCTTAGCCTTTCTTGATGTACTTTATTATTCTCTATTATCTTAACTGCACAATTATTTTGGCTTGCCTGGGTTCCTGGTGCTATGCTGCATATTCTTAGAATTCTTTGTGTGTAGCTTTTCATAGGTTCACTGTTTGTTTTAATTTTAATCATACTATAAATCCCTTACTCAGTCAAAACTGAACAATGAGGCATTTGAAATGGCCCTAGCATTTCAATCTGAAGCATCCTGTTCTATTCCTACTATCTGCAAACAGCAACTGAGCTCATAAGAAGTGCTAACTGTTGTTTTAACCAATGCCCTGGCTGTTATTTTGACCAATGGCCTGAGCAGATGAGAGACTCTAGATTTAGACTGGTCCATCACACACTGTGCTGAGATCAGAATTTTCCCTATAGGAAAACAAGATACTGGAGAAACTCTCAGATTGGGCGACATTTGTGAAGAGAGAAACCTGAGTTAATGTTTTAAGTCCAATGATTCTTTAGAACTCAGAAGTTCCCTTGTTTACTGAATTCCTGGTCTGGGTTAAAATCGGGTCTGAAGATTCTGTTTCAGTACTAGGTTCCCCTGCTATGGAGAAGAGTGTTGTTCTCTACTGTTCCTATTAATTCCTTTCCTTTATATAAATATCTTAATCAGATAAATTCTTAGTATCAGGACATGGCATGCACACTAAGTCAGCCACTTTATCCTTGATTATTATTCTTCTGAATTACAGCTTTCTCTAGTAGATCCTTTGCCAGATGGAGTATCCAAGGTTTATTTCAGAATTTTTGATGAGATCTGGATAGTACTCTGTATAATGTACATGAACATTTTGCTTTGATATTCCATGATGTTGGTAATACCTGATTTTTTTTGCATCAGCAACCGACCTATATATGATTTTATGTGCCTGGAAATAATCCCATTGCGCTTCTCTCTATCTGTGTTTCATCTGCATTCCTTTCTGGCAATTTCATACCTGGAGTATGCCATTTCACACTTCATGTGATTTTTTTTTTTGTTATAATTGTTTGTTTTCTTCATGTGTCGCACATCCCTGCCCACCAAAACAAGAGTGCCCCCTTTATCCTACTTTCTTTATTCCTGACTCTTAATCAATTTCCATCAATATCATGAGGTTACTTTCAATTCTTTTGCATTTCAGTTTTTATAGCAAGCTTTTGTCTGGAATCTCATTGAGTGTTTTTCTGAATGTGTACATGCATGACATTCATAAGCCTTTCTCTGTCCATCTGCTTGGTGACTCAGTTATCCCTGTCAATTACACTTGACTTTTTGAGATAGAATCGTTAAATGATTTCAACACAGAATCAGGCTATTTTGCCTGTTGATGCCCCCCTAAAAATCAATTTGACTAGTTCCACTGCTCTGCTACTTGCTCAAAGCCCTACAAATCTTCTCTCTTAATCTAATTCCCCTTTGAAGGATGAAACGTTTCCTAAGTTCAAAATTTTGGTACTGTTTAGAATAAGTGGGCTAATGAAGATATTTCCCCTGAATTCCCTAATTGATTAATTAACAACTGTCCTAGTTTGATAGAAGAGCAAAATAACAGAAGTTGGTAGTGAGAGTAGATTGATCATCATCTGTTACCTATGTGGAGAAAAGTGAAGTGATCCATTTTTGTGGGAATGATGCAGAGAGACAGTGTAAAACAAGGGGTGCAATTCTAAAAAAGGTGCAGTAGCAGGAAGACCTAATTCCCTAATTGCTGTGATTCTCAAGTCATAGGTCGGCCAGACCAATGAAGGATGGCAGAATTCCTTACCTATAGAACATTTTTATGATGATTAACAGTGGTTACGTGATCGCCATTAGGCTAGCTTTTTATTATGTTTAAATATTCCATTTGTCCCGGTGGTATCTGGGCCCATGTCCCGAGAAACTTACCTTGGAGATTCTGCGTCACTAGTCCGGTGAGGTCTTTACTACTCCACTATCTCACAATTGTGGGTGCCATACTTCGGGAAGGATGAGAGTACATTGGAAATAGTGCCAAAAAAGTGTACAAGGTTGTTCTGGGGAAGGGAAACATCAGTTACCAAGGTAGATTAGAGGAGTTAAGTGTCTTCTGCTTAGAGAGGAGAGACTAAGAGGAGATTTGTTGGAGGTTTACAAAGTCATGAGAAGACTGGACAGAGTAGATGGAGAGAAACTGTCCCCCTCGTAGAAGAATGGAGACCAAAGTGAGAGACATTTACAGTGATTTGCAAAAAAAGCAAGTGCGACATGCAAAAAATAACTTTCCCACACAGTGAGTGATTCAGATCTGGAATGCACTACCTGAAAGTACAGCAGGGCAGCTTCAATTGAGGCATTCAAGAGGACATTAGATGATTACTTGAATCAAAAAACTGTGCAAGGTTATGTGTAAAAGGCAATAGATTGGCACCAATTTTTAATACTGGTTTGGAGAACCATTGCAGACACAATGAATGGGCTGAATGGCTTCTTTCTGCACCATTATAATTGTGATTTATGATCCCTAGTTTTGAACAGTCCCAGAGATGAAAATATCTCTTCTGTTTCTTTAAAAAAGTAGGCTCTTCTGTTAATCTGAAAGCAGTCTTGTTCCTTATGATAACTTAGATGCTTTAAAGCATTTATCCAAAATGTAGATAGTGCCTGTCCCCTTAGGTATTTGTTATTGAAATCCTTGGAACAGCTGTGCAGTTAGGCTGCTGCTCGTGGAGGCAATCAGAAACTTGCCTTTTGTTTTTACCCTGTAAGTTGAGCCTCTTCTGATGTTTGTGCTCATTGCCAAGTCTTGTTGAGCTGTTTCTTGCATAGGATGTCTACTTGTTCTTGCATTGACTTTTGGTGACTTTAAGTGATGGGATTCTTCATTAGGACAGACAAGATCATAGTTATATGTATGTTGCAGCTGAGATGTAACTCATAGAATCGTAGAATAGAATCCCTACAGCGTGGAAACAGGCCCTTCAGCCCAACAAGGCCACACCGACACTCGAAGCATCCCACCCAGACCCATCCCCCTAATCTACACATCCCTGAACGCTACGGGCAATGGCCAATCCACCTAGCTTGCACATCTTTGCACCCGGAGGAAACCCACGCAGACACGGGGAGAATGTGCAAACTCCACACAGACCGCTGCCCGAGGGTGGAATCAAACCTGGGTCCCTGGCACTGTGAGGCAGCAGTGCTAACCACTGAGCCACCGTGCTGCCCCCCAGTAACTGCCAGTACTGTGTAATTTAAACTCTTGAGAAGTTTTCTAACAAAAACAACTACATGTTTGGAAAGATCACTGGGGGGAAAACACAGTTCTTTTGCAGTTTATTGTGAGTTGGCTTTTTTCAACCCCTTCTAAAAATTGCAGGCTCATATCTGAAACAGATATCAAGTTTATCAAATTTTTAAAACATCTTAACATCTTTTAAATCTAAAAAAGTGCCTAGCATTGATTATAATTAGCTTTAGCTAGCAAGATTCGTTAACTGGATTCACATCATTGTCTTCACCCTACCTCCCTACCAGCAACCTTCCTCTTTTCGATTTTTCTTTCTCTCTTCCTCCTCCTTTTTGCACAGTTTTCTATCACGTTAACTCTTGTCTGCTGTTCCCCTCCACCTTTCATTCTCATCTCTTCTTACCACCTCTTCTCCCTACTTTCCCTCCCACATCTCCTTCTGTTCTTCTCTCCCAGTCTTTAACTTCTTGCCCCACTCTCTTTTCCTTTCTCCCTTTACCCATCTCCTCTCCATTTACGTTTTTATTCTTTCCTTCCCATCCCCTTTTGCTCTCTTTGCTGTTCTTCTGTCTTCCATTTTCCAGCTCTCCTCCTCCTCCTTCCATCTCATCACCTGAATTGACTGTGCAACTGGACATGAAGCTCTTGTTAGTTTTCTGTTCAAAAGTAACTTGAACAATGTAAATGCACAGATGTTTAGACCATTTCTGGATTCAGCAATGCAATAATTTGTACTGACTAAATTGTTTTACCTCTGTTAGAATTCACTAATGCTCTGATGTAAAAGTAAACCTATGAATCTGAATCCAGCTGAGAGTTGGGCACTCTGTCACTGTGATACCACTGGTAGAGTTTAAATGGAGCTTTCCTCAGGTTGAGCTTTCTACAGCACACAGTCTTCAGTTCTGCACCCACACTTAAATCCAGTAATCAGTGATGGACAGAAGAGAAAATCTGACTGGGCAAAACTCTCTGCTATACCTGTGTATAGTTCAATCATATAATGGTGGATTATTAGGAGGCAGCTTCAACTTTGGTTAATTTTATTTTCTTTCCTTATTAATTTCTTATGCTGCATATTGACGAGGATTTTTCTTTGTCTTTTTTGTCTTGTTTATTCGTTCTCCAGTCTGACCAGGTACAGGTCACCCCCAGCCCCAGTGTATGTATTATTATTTCATTTTCTGCTATATTCTTTTTGCATGCTTTCATACTGCTTGTGGGTGGTACACTCAGATTATTTGAGTCTGGATAACCCAATGTACAGCAGTATACATTGCAATCATTTAACTGCTGCATGATTGTAAACAAGCTTAACTACCTGTGGAGTGATGGTAATCAAGGTCTACCACAGCACTGTGCTTTAAATATGTGATTTATTTGACACTACATTAACCTGGTATTTCCTTTCTTTTGCCTAGAAGTACTTTGTTCAAATCTCTCATCATTTCCAAGAGCGAGGATGGGGGTGTCAATGCGGCTGCTGGCCTTGCTATAATTTGACCACTGCACAGCTAGTGGATCTGCCATATGACCACCTACACAATGGCAGATTTGCCACGTGACCAGTCACTCTGTATGAAGAGAAACAAAGAAGTGATTTGCAGCCTGTGTTTCAAGCTCTCCCCTCCTCGTTCTGCCTGTCATGCATTGGCTTCTTTTTTATCTGTCTTTTTTTAATTTTAGAATTTTTTTCATATAAAACAGCAATTGGCCGCGACTATCTACACTAATCACGCTGGATATTTGTTTGGTTAATGGCATGGTATAAGTTTGTAATTTGGGAATTGGACCCTTCAAAACAACACAACTAGAATTTGGTTGCAATTAAGATATTTTCCTAAATGTATGTAGGAAAAAGATCGATCAGTGGTGGATAAGAGAAGGAAGCACTGTTCTAGTGTGCTGTACTCAGTCACTGTGAAATGCCGGTGTTTAAGTTGTACCGTCTCTTGTTATTGTTAAGCTGAATAATAAATGTGTAGATTCTGTCACATTATTAAAACCTCCCTATGTCAGGAGCAGTTTTTTTTTGCAAGGCTGTTTTTTTGGATCTGGCCATCATTCTGCTGAAATTAGTGTTTAAATCTGTCTGCAGATTAAAATAATTATTATTGAAGCAAAAAATGATTTAGAAGTGATTCATTAGGATTTTTAAGTTGCTTATTATTTTGATATCAAGGCTCTGATTTCATTTATTGAATTTATTCCTGCTGATCTGCTCAGCACAATTATTTGAAGGTTAGCCTTGATGACAATAATTACTTAAAATGGAAAATCCAAGGTGCATTGATACAATTACTAAAAGAACGATAATTAAAGACAAGGTTATAAGTTAATTGGATACTTTTCATTCTTCAGTTTCACTTTGAAATATTTCCCATGATTTTAGAATGAAACCCCTTGTTATTTCAATTCATATGCTTTGACAGGATATACAGAGTTTTCCCCAGTGTTTCTCCAGACCATACTCAAAAGCAGGTTAAAAAGTGTTTTTTCTGTTTTGGAAGTTGTATTAGCTGGATGATGGATGATCGAATCTTACAAAGCCTATCCTGGCCTTAATGGAGTTTAAGTCAGATTTGGTGTTATTGAATCTCTACGGTCAGGAAACTAATAGTCATATCAAGATTATCCTAATATCACATTTTGATTAATACCCTTGGAAAGAATTGCACTCTCTACTTATATTTCAGAGAGAAGTAGAATAGGAGCAGTGCAAGCGAAGCTAGGAATATTGGAAGACAAATCAAAAAGGAAAAGATTGGGGAGGCAGGATGGCTTTAAAGATTAAAACATTTTAGAAGTAGGAGCATTCAAACATTTAGTTGGAAATTGAATCAATAATGTACAAAACACTAAACGTAAATATCTGATAAACCCTAACTGTATAATTTTGATTTTTCTTGCACAGGTGGTCATTACTATCTGAAACTCAGAGAATGTTCTTCCTACCTCTTGGCAAATATGCCTACATGTGCATAAATTGTTGGGAAGTAGTCCTCATCATGAAAACAAAATTAATCCTGCCCGCTCCTCTCCATGTTGAGATTTCTAATTAATGTTTGTTTGTAAAATTTAATTCTGTAGCAGTATTAACTGATTCCTTCTGATCGTACATTCCCATGACAATACTGCAGACTCACTCAATGGCTCAGTGAGTATCTGGACCATGGAGTCTGTTGTAAGTGCTGGGTTGCAACAACTCTATGTCCCTGGATTTGACGTGTAAGATGGAAAAATTGTCCTGGCATTTCGCTCCTTAACTTGCAAAAGATTGCTACTGGGAGGTGTCATTGTGTGGATGCCAGGTGAAGAGGGAATGGGTTTAGCTGTTCAGTGTTTTGTGATATAGTAACCTCCAGTACTCTTGTTGGGCACTGACAGAGGACAATGAATACTGAGATTGGAGTTCCAGAAGGCAAACTGTATCTAGAGACTTATGAGTTGGTGCTTTCAGGGACGTAGGAGAAGGGACAATGTTGCCTAATTTAGTTTTTAAAACAAGTGATCTAGTTTGGGGGAGCGATCTTAAATATTAAGATCTGCGCTCAATACTACTAATGTATAAAGCCAGAATGTTAGCATGTCAGTGGAATGTGCACAGAGAGCCTGCATAGAGATCCATGCCAGTGCATTTTGTCCAGTAAATTCCCAGACTCGGTCCATGAAGTTCTTTTCCACTTTGGGTGGAATGTATTGGATGGGAGAAAATGGAAGGTAGTTGAAATTACATGAATGTTCTTTCATGTATCTCACAATATTGGATGATTGAGTTGAATCAACTGTGGCCTTTATAGAGGTAGCTGATGGTTTTCTGATCCTGGGAAACAAACCTAAAGAAAGAACTGTGGACGGAACAGTAACAATCCGAAAATAACTTAGTGTTAGTTCTTTAAAAGTCTAGTGATGAGTTTCAGATAATTATTTTTTCTAAAACTCTTCTTAGGCAGTTGATGAGAAACGTCCTGAAATCTAGCAACAGATTCTAGGTGTGTGTTACAGAGACTGAACCATCATACCAAGAGATTCACACTAATGGGCCTGATGTATTTTTGTGAATGAAGTAATTAATTCTGCAGCCTATCTGAACCAGGGTATTCATTTCTGCAAAATTGCACACATGTTCTACAGTGTTATGACAATATATGTCCTGTAATTTCAATCCTGTTTTTTTTGTTTGTTTGTGTTTGCCTTTTGTTTTCTTTTCTCCTTTAGCCTCCGGCCAAATTCCTCTTACCAGAGATGAGAGTATCTGATGTTGGAAAGAAATGTGTAGTCATCGACTTAGATGAAACCTTAGTACATAGTTCCTTTAAGGTACTGCAAGTTCTTTGTTCATTCTTTGTGTTCTTCTTTAACTCAAGTATCTTTTTAAGTTAAAGCATACAAATCCACATTATCAATCTTAACTCTGTTTTGAGGCGGAGATGGTATGCATGAGAAGTAATTAAGAGCATGTCACTAAAATAGAGACTGCCAAATTTATTTTAGCATGATACTTTTATAATTTAAAATGTTTAGCCTACTCAAATGGTCATTTTGGTAACTTCACTACGTTCTTGTGTGAGGATAGTATTCTCAATGGGCAAGATGGGAAGAACCAGAGAGAGAGATTTGGGTGTATACTTGAAAAGGACAACTTTTATGGATACTTGGGGAAAGAGCAAGAAGGAATAGGAATAGTTGAACAGTTCTTTCCATTTCCAAGAGCTGGCTCAGGTAGGATGCGCTGAATGGCCTCCTGTGCTATACAAAAGTGTAAGCTACTTGAATAATTTCATGTTCAAACGCTAGTGTCTGAAAAGGCTTTTGCATTGGTTCATGCTAATGTCTTTGGACCTGTATTCAAATTCAGCCCATACACAAGAATAATATGAAAATGCTGCTTTGCTTTTGGGGCTAGTGTTCATAGTACAAGCCCTGGCAGAGTTAGGTGTGCACTGCAGTTCCAAAATATTTTGAACTTAAACTTGCAATCAGGATGCTAACAGGATGGATTGTGCTGGCAATGGAACATAGGGAGTCATCATCCGAGGCTTTGCATTGATGATACAAAAGTAAAGGGCACTCTACCTCTTTGTTTGGCTTTTCCTGATGTGACCGGGAAGTGCTTAACTTACTTGTTTGACATTGTCATTTGTTTGATTTCAAGCACTTCCATTCTCCAGTACTTAGCTGTTTCTGAATTGACAATGTAAAAGGAAATCACCAGAAAGGGAAGGGGAAAGGCCTCTCCTGCACTTAAACAAAAGATTTCATTCAGTTTCCTTTGTCCTGCAAAAGAGCAGCTCATGCAATATCAGTTGACTACCAGCTAGCAATTGGAGGGAATTGAAGTAAAATAAACCCGTGCTCACAGAATAATGGGACGTGCTTGCCTGGGTTTCGGGGCACCTGCTCTCACATCTTTATTGTGTGATGACTGAATTTAAATACAGAATGACACCCGGTTGTATGAAGATTTAAAGTCCCTGTTGTGTAGACAGTAAATTAGTGATGTTGGTAGTGAGTATTTTGCTGTAGAGTGAAGATACTCCAGTTGGCACACTCAGGTCACTTGCTTTCAATAGGTGAACCAGTGGATAATGTTTGCCTTACATTGTTATTGCAATATAGAACTGTTTACTTTCACCATGTTATGCTTCACGAAGAATTCATTTTGTTGGGAGCAAAAGTAAACCTGGGCTTTGGTAAGTTAGGATCTTGGATGACTGAAATACACTAAAGCTTCTGTTTACAACCTGATGTTTGTCAGTATCTACAAAACCAGATACTCTAAGTGGATAGTTTCATGTGGCCAGTTTGTTTTGATGTGGTGAATAAAATGTTGCATTTGACTTTTTTCTTCTCTCCTACAAACAGTGATAGGTTTTTATGGGTTATGGAAAGTGTTCTGTGAGTTGATTGTGTGAAGGGAAGGCTATCAAAGTGTCTCTTTTTTTTAATTCATTTCTGGAACGAGGTCATTGTTGGCTCGGCCAGCATTCATTACTTATCCCTAGTTGCCCTTGACGCTGCCTTCTTGAACTGCTGCAGTCCATTTGGTGTATGTACAGTGCTGTTAGGCAGGGAGTTTAATGTAACAACAAATTTTGGAAAATGATCATAACAAGCACTTTTAAAATTTGACCCTGTTGCTCAATCTTGTTTGTGATCCCTTTAAGTGATATGTAGGAGCAGGAAGCGCAGAGAACCTTGGATGTCTAAGAATATTCAGGTTTGGATAAGAAGGCAAAGGCAGCACATTTACTTCGGCCTTTGTGGAGAATAGAAAGTGCAGGTTGGAATCTCAGGAAAACAGAAGAACAAAGAGGGCCATGGAAAAACAATAGCAGGTAAAATTAAGGAGAACTCCAAGATATTCTACAAGTATATTAAGGGCAAGTGAGAAAGAGTAGGGCCCATTAGGGACCAAGGGGGAGATCTGTGCATGGAGCTAGAGGACTTTGGAAGGTTGTTAAATGAATACTTAACTTCTGTCTTCACTCAGGAGGAGGACAATGCAGATACAAAATTTAGGGAAGAGGACTGAGATTCTTGAGCGGATTGCCTTAAGGAGTAGGGAGGTATCCGAGGTTTTGGCAGGTTTGGAATTGGATAGATCCCCAGGTCTGGTTGACTTGTATCCCATGCTACTGTAGGAGGAAATTGCTACAGTTCTGATCAAATTTTTAATTCCTTTCTGGCCACAGGGGAGGTGCCATTGGACTGGAAGACAGCTAATGTTGTCCCACTTTTCAAGAAGGGTGATAAAGATAAACCAGGGAATTACAGACAGAGTCTCTCATTAGTGACAGGGAAACTATTGGAGAATACTCCGAAGGAACAAATTAATCTCGACTTAGAAATGCAAAGGCGGATCAGGAATAGTCAGTGTGGCTTGGTCAGACAGGTTCGATCGAATTTTTCAAGGAGGTATGTATCATAGAATCCCTACAGTGCGGGTGGAGGCCATTCAAATCTGCACCATCTGAATCTGAAGAGCATCCCACTTATACCCACCCTTTCTCTGTAGTGCCGCAGTTACCATGGCTACTAAACCTAGCCTGCACATCCCTGACACTACAGGGCAATTCAGCATGGTCAATCCACTAACCTGCACACCTCTGGACTATGGGAAGAAACTGGACCACCCAGTGGAAACCCATGCAGGTGCAAGGGGCATGTTCAAACTCCACACATCCACCTGAGGCTACGTTTGAACTTGGGACCCTGGCGCTGTGAAGCAGCAGTGTTAACCTCTGTGCCACCATACTGCCCTCTAACCATTGTGCTGTTGTGCCTGCCCTGTAGATGGGGTAGGGCAGTTGAAGTAGTTTATATGAATTTCAGCAAAGTGTACAAGATCCCACATGGGAGAATGATAAAGAAGGTGAAAGCACATGACATCCAAGGTAACGTGGCAAATGAATCCAAAGTTAGGTTAGTGGTAGGAGACGGGTGGTAGAAGGGTTGATTGTGTGACTGGAGTTCGATATCCAGTGGCATGCTGCAGTGCTGAGTCCCTTATTGTTTGTGATATATATAAACAATATGGATAAGAGTGGGGGGGGAAATGACAAATAAGTTTGCAGATGGCACAAAGATTGGCCGGATAGTTAACAGTGAGGAAGAAGGTCTTGGGTTACAGGAAAATATAGACAGATTGGCCAGATAGGCAGATCAGTGGCAGATGGAATTTAACTTTTCCAAAATGTATCACCACACACTTTACAGAAGTAGCAAGATAAGGGAGTACTCAATAAATGGTACAATTCTAGGAAACTCAGAGGAACTGAGGGATCTTGGGGTGCTTGCCCATAGATCCCTGAAGGTGGCAGGACAGGTTAATAGGCTGGTTAACAAGGCATGTGAGATACTTGCCTTTATCAGTAGTGGCATTGATTGTAAAAGTAGGGATGTTGTACTGGAGCTCTACAAAACTTTGGTTAGGCCACAGCTGGAGGACTGTGTGCAGTTCTGGTTGGAGCATTTTAGCTATGAAAAGAGGCTGAATATGTTTTGTTTGTTTTCTTTGGAGCAGAGAAGGCTGAGGGGGACCTGTACACGATTATGAACGGTTTGGCCAGGTTGGATGAAAGCAGCTGTTCCTCTTTATTGTCTTGAATAACAAGGGGGCATAGTTTTAAGGCAAGGGCAGGAGTTTTAGTGGGATTTGAGGAAAAATCTTTTCACCCAGAGACCTTCAACCACCGTCTGGAATGTATTGCCTGGGAGAGTAGTAGAGGTGCAGAAACTTACAACTAAAAAGTACGTGGATGAGCATTTGCCATGTCATAATTTTCAAGGCTTTGGGCCAATTGCTGGAAGGTAGGTCTTGAGTTGGTGCAGATTTAATTGGCCAAAGGGCCTCTTCACTGCTGTATTACTCTAGGACTCAGTATCTCTTAAACCAGCAGAGATATGTTGCTGGGAAGCGTTATGAATGGTGAATCAAACTGAAATGCTGAGGTCAGATTCAGGACCGATGCACGTGGTTGGCTTGCTGTGGGCTAGAAATGAAAAAAAAAACTTATATTTTCTGTAGTAGTTACATTGGTTGTCATGTTCCCTGCTTTACAAATTGTTCACAATAAATTCCCGCAAAAATGATGCGATTATCTTACTTTCTCTGATGCTCAGTGAGGAATCAGTATTGACCAAGATACTAAGGGAAATTCCATTTCTTTTCCTTGCACTGGTGACATGGGAAATTCTTCAAGCTGAGAGGCAGATGTAGAGCTTTGGGTTAATATCTCAACCTCAGTACTTCACTGCACATGCCACAGTATTCTGATTCAGAGGCAAGAATCATTGAGCCAAGCTGATATCTTAATGTACATCCTTGATGAGTTCCTTTCATTTGTTGCATTATTTTAAACCCCTTGACCATTTTCCACTTATACATTTGACTCCTCTCGTCACTGCAATTTGTTCCACAGAACTTGCAGCATAGAAACTGACCAATCGGCCCAACTAGTCTTTGACAATGTTTTGTGTTCTATAAAAGCCTCCAAACATCCTTCTTAGTCTAATCCTGTGAATACATCTTTGAATTCTTCATGTGCATCTATGACCACTCCATGTGGTAATGAACTCCACATTAATCCGCATATCAGTAGTGCACTGGAGTGGCCATGAATAATGTCAAGGAAGTGGGATGTGGACTCATGCCTGTGATCAGTCTCAGACATGCTGTTTTTAGGAATGATGCTGTGCTGAAAACCATTTAGCTTTAGAAACTTGGCATGAGCAGTCTTCATTTCAATGAATTAGTCCTTACAGAGACCACATTCACATTTTTATCTTTTAAAACTACCATTCCTTAAAACATCCAACTACTTTTGATTGGGGAGCTCAGAGGTGTATAGTCTGGAACAAGAGAAGTTCATTCAGCCTGTTCCAGCATTCAGTTAGATTAATTACAGATATGTATCTCATCTCTATTTATCTGTCTTGGTTCCATATCCCTTAATGCCCTTGCATAACAAAAATATATCACTTTTTTTTTAAATTTTCTACTGGATTTCTAATCTGAATTATTTTGGGGAATAGATTCCAGATTTCCACTGTGTGAAGAAGCATTTCCTGACAATCCCTGAAATTGCCTACCTCCAGTTTTAAGATTGTATGTCCCCTTATTCAAGACAGCCCCATGAGAGGAAATAGTTTCTCTTTATCTGTCCTATCAAATAATTGTCTAAAACACCCAAAGCAACAGCCTCTATCATGTTGAGCATTGTTGAAAAAAATCACTTCAAATACTTCCATGGTGTTGGAAACTCGGCTTACACAAACTGACTGAACACCCTTCCTGTTAAACATTTAGCTGCCATTATATAGTTACGTGAAAATCCTGCAGAATTGGCTATTTTCCAGCTATGTACCATGGAGCCTGCTTCTCTCAGCTGTTGTATGGGACGCCCTCACGTGGTTTCTCTTGCATAGCAACAGTTCATTTTTTTTTTGTGTGTGGCCCTGTGCTGTCATAACCACACAGTCTGCACTTTGGAAAATTATAAATGTTTGGTCAGTCTCTTGTTTACTTAGCAGTTCAGCTGTTTAGGCGCACTGATGCATGCTACATGCAGAGATGGATCCAAAGTTCCATTTCTACTGTTTGAACCTTTTTATGCAACTGAAAGAACTGTGAAGCTAAACCTTTATAGAATGCACAGCTCAGAAACAGGCTGTTCAGCGCAGCTGATCTGCACTGGTACTTGTGCTGTACGCAAACCTGCTCCCACCCTATTGCCTAATCCTATTGATAGTCCCTTCTAATTTTTCTCTCCCATATACTTAATTAGATTCCCCTTAAGAGGCATCTGTGCTATTTTTGTTAATCATTCCAGGTGGTGGTAGTGCGTTGCACATTCCAGCCATTCTTTGGTGAAAAAGTTTCTCCTGAATTCCTTTTAGATTTGTTAGTAACTGCCTTTATGGCTTCCAGTCTGGCTTCCCCTGAAAGTGGAAATATCTTTTCACCATCTATCTTACTGAATCCGTCATACTTTGAGAAAAGACTAAAGTTTACACAGGAATTTGTTCCTCTCCTGCCCGTCACCCCTGCCCTCTAGTGGTAAGAGCAGTGGATAAATTGTCTTCACAGATCCAGTAAGCATAAGTCTGACCCTCTTCCTTCAGTTGGCAGCTCCTTCAGGTTTGAGAGCTTGAACCTTGCTGATCTGAGTCTGAGCAAGGTGTATCCTCCTCTGTGTTACTGTGGGAGTGCTGAATCACCAGAAATATTGTCTCAGTTAGACTGAGTCCCAATCAAGGGGATCACCATGCCGCCTGACAGCATCCAAAAAATAAAGAGCAGAGACTAACATTCATCCCACAAATAAATCACATCTTTTTTTTAAAAAAAAGACATATTTAACCATTTGTTCACTTTGTGTTTGGGATGCAGGGGATGCTGTCAAAGTGTGCAAGGCAGATTAGCAGGTATATAGTATTGAAACACAAATCAGCCAAGATTTTACTGAATGGTAGAATGTGGGGGGCTCTTGTAGCACAAAAGATCTATATCCAAGTCACACCTGCAGAGATGTGCTATCACAAAATCTTTTTGAATGGTGTGACTGGCCCAATAAGCTGAATGGCCTTGGTTCTGTTTCTGATTTGTTGCTGGTCCTTAGTTGTTCTGAAAGGTTGGTAGAGGACAAAAGTACAGGCTATTAGAAGTTTTACAAGAATGATGCCAGAATCAAGTAGTTATACCAATTAGGACATATTGTATAGGCTGTGGATCCTAGAAAAGAGGATGTTGAACAGTAACCTTTATAATTTTGACAGTGTAGATGTAGAGAAGATGTTTCTGCTTGTGGAGAGACCAGTGCAAGGAGTCATTTGGAGAAGTGTCTTGAATGTAGAATTTGACATCACATGAAGTAGCTGAGGTGAATAGTACAATACATTTAAGGATAAGCTGGGAAAACACAGGAGGGAGAAAGGAATACGAGGGTTAATTAGGAGTCAGATGCAGTGAAAGCTGGAGAAACTCAGCAAGGCTGGCAGCATCCATGGTGAGAGAAACAGAGTTCATCCTGGTCTTGAAACTTTAACTCAGTTTCGCTCTCCACAGATGCTGCTAGATCTGCTGAGTTTCTCAAACATTCCGTTTTTGCTTCAGATTCACAGCATTTGCAGTATCTTGCTTTTATTTGAGGGTCAAGTAGGAGGTGTGGTATTTGGGCCAAAAAAAGCACAATGCACAAAGATGCACACACATGCACTTCAGGAAGTACGCTAAGGCTTCAGAAAGAGAGTGCAGAAAAAATTGTGAGAATGGCTCAAGGAACAAGGGAATTCAGCTAACTGCATAGATTTGAGAAGCTGGATTTATTCTCTGGGCTGAGGTTTGATTGAGGTGTTGTACATTAAGAAGTCTGGACAAAGTAGATGTAGAGTAACAGATATAAGATTATTATTTAGATAGAAATAATGTGCAAGAGTCTGGGGTAAAAAACAGGAGATTAGTAGTAGGTAATGATACTCGTTTGAAGAGTCGGTACAGACATGATGCACTGAATGGCCTGCTTTTGCACCTTAACACTCTGTGATTCTGTGAACAATTCATATTGGCAGAAGGATTGGGAACCAAGGGGCGCTGATCTAAATTGGTTCAAAACTACAATAGGGAATTTTTTTTTAAATCTAAGGAGTGTTTGGAATTTGGAATTTACTGTCTGAGAGTCTGGTAGAGGCAGGTTCAAGTGAGACTTTCAGAAGGGAAGTGAATAAGCTCTCAATGAGGGGAAAAGTGCAAGGTTGAGTGAAAAGGGTAGACTTACTGAATTGATCTTTTGAGAGCTTGTATGGATTTGATGCACAAAATTGCCTCCGATTGTTCAGATCCATTCTATGATTTTTTTTAAAAATTCCAAATGGGGCCTATATGATGTTGTAATTGGGGTGGAAGGGGTAAATGGGGCGCTCTAGTTTCCGAGTTTTTAACCTTGTTCATATAGATGTCACTGGCTAGGTCGGCATTTGTTGTCCACCTCTAATTGTCCAGAGAGTAGTTAAGAGTCAGCCATGTTGCTGTGGGTCTGAAGTTGCACGTAGGCCAGACCAGGTAAGAACAGCAGATTTCCTTCCCTGAAGGACATTTTGATATCCACATGGTTTTCCCAACAATTGGCAGTGGTCACCATTTGGCTGTTTTTTTTTATTCCAAAATATTTTATTGGATTCGAATTTCATCATCTGCTATGGTAGGATTGAAACCCATGACCCAAACATTAGCTTGAGGATCTGGATTGCTAGTCCGGTGACATTATCACTATCATGCTAGCGACTCCTAAGGGAGGAGAGGCTCACTTGGTGAAAGCCGGTGATCAGGGTAGTGAGAGAAATCTGAAAATGTGGATAAAGCTTCAAAACTCCTGCCGTTGAACACTAATCTACCGCATTCACTGTTCAGCCATGGGTCTCACAGGAGGGAAAGAACTTTGAAGTTGTAGCTCAGAATAAGTCAGTAACTGTAGCTGACACAGCATATCCACATAATACCATGGAGTGCTTGAAAATAGCTTGATCTGGGAGGAAATGGGTTAACTTTAATTTAGCTATCTGTTGCCAGCTGAATCACAAGCACAAAGGATGTACAGTGAATGAGTTGGAAAACATTCCAAAAATTGCTGTGACTTTAAATTTCTGCGCGCAAAATAATAGATTGGAAACCATCGTTGATGCTGAAACATGTCGTTTCTCAGGTTTAAATCATCTTCTCTGTGAGATTAATATAAATAAATGTCCACTGCAAACAGAGTGTTTAAATTGTATGTTTGCAGTTAAACTGTGCTAACAGAATTAGAATTTGCACATTTAACCGTGATGTATAATGACTTCCTTTTGTTTATTTACAGCCTATTAACAATGCTGATTTCATTGTTCCTGTTGAGATAGATGGGACTGTTCACCAGGTAAGAAATCCTATTGTAAACAATGTACCCTTCATCATACAAAGGGATCAAAGGTCAGAGGGACCACGGCTCATGTTTGATCAAGCTGGTCATCACGTTCAGAAACCAAACTGTTTACATAAGATCAGTGATGTGGAAGGGCCATTGCAGAATCATGAATGACCACAGATATGAAGGGTGTACAGAGGAATGAGATGTGGAGATAGAAAAGAACCTCTGAAACGAAATAATTAAAAAGGGTGAAGGGCGGAGGTGGTAATTACTGATTACAACAGCTGTTTGTGCAGTTTGTTTCGGTTAAAATGGAGATTGCTTAGTAAGTATGCAAAAATGACAAGAATTGTGCAAGAAATCATAAACCTGATGCTGCACAGCAGATATCTAAGGTCCCTGGAGTCATGGGGATTGCTCGTAAGGTAGCTATTCTTACTCTCACCACTACTACATAACTGGCAATTGTGCTGTGACTAGACTGTCAAACCATACACATGACTCTCTGCTCAGGCCAGCGCACTTTTCTCTGATAACTATTTGGGTTAGATCAACAACATACATTTATATGTACCTGCTGAGCTTTTCCAGCAATTTCTGTTTTTGTGTACATTTATGTAGTGCCTTCAATATAGTGAGACATCCCAAAGAGTTTCCCAAAAGCACTAGCAGACAAAACTCCAACATTGACATAACGAGAGGATGGGTCAAGTTGGTCAAAAAGTTAAATTTTTACCAATGTTTTAAACAAGGTGGTGTACAGAGACAGAGACGCTGAGTGACGATATGCCAGAGCTTAGAACCTAAGCAGCTGAAGCTATGGCCGTCACTGGGGAATGACTGAAATTTGGGAGGTGTAGTTGAGGTTGAATGCCAGAATTATTTGATGATTGTAGGGATGAACAAAATTACAGAGATAGGAATTGTGACGCCATGAAAGAAGTTGAATGTGAGGATGAAAATTTAAAAATTGTGGCATGCTCTTATTCAATGTCAATTATGGGGCAGCAGAATTTAGCATGAGATCTGTTTTAAGGAGGTTAAAAGAAAGGAGGTCAGCCTGAATTGCATTGGAGTGGTTTCGTTTGGAAGTAATAAAGACTTGAATGACGATTTCAGCATCAGATGAGCTGGAGCAGGACTGGTGATGGATCATGTGATGGAGCTGAAAGAAGGGGTTGTGGTCATGGCGTGGTACACCAACGCTCCCTTTACAAAGCTGGAAGTTAATAAATGCCTTATTCATTCGTGGAATGCGGGCATCACTGGTTAGCCAGCATTTTTTCCCATTCCTAGTTGCCTTTGAACTGAGTGGCTTGCTAGGCCATTTCAGAGGGCAGTTAAAAATCAACCTCATTGCGGTGGGTTTGGAGTCACGTGTCGGCCAGGCCAGGTGAGGATGGCAGCTTTCTCTCTGAAGAATTTCTGAAGGGCATTAGTGAATCACATGGGTTTTTCTGACAATCAACAATGGTTTCATGGTCATCATTAGACTCTTAATTCCAGATTATTATTGAATTCAAATTCGACCATCAGCCATGTCGGCATTTGAACCTAAGTCCCCAGAACATTAGTGGAGTTTCTGGATTAATAGTCCAGTGGTTGTACCACTAGGCCATTACCTCCCTTTGAATGATATTGTAATATAACCTCAGTTGCTGAGGGAGCACACTTCACTCTGGTCAAAGGAGTTCATTTATACTTGGCATTGTCAATGGAAAAAATATGTTGTGATCTGTGCATCCAAATTATCTGGCTGCTGTTGAATTAATTTTCTACTTTAGCACTTTTAGCTTGTACGTAGTAATCACTCGTTATAATGCAAGATACTGAAGCTGATTGTGGTAAGATGATATATGGTTGATACTAGCACCTGGACTGGAACATAACAATCGATAGGGCCAGGCCAATTTAATGTAGAGACATCAGTTATATTCTGTTGGTGGGGGTTCCTGTCTGAAATGACTGAGGTTGTCATGAGCAGGATTTCAGGAGACTGCTGTGATGTTCTATGGGAACAGACTGCAGTGTAAGGCAAAGTGTATCGGAGAAGATGATGAAGGTTGTGGGAGGGGCAACAGTTCAAGGTTTCCATGAGCTGCTCAGGAGTACTTTTCTTCCTCCTGGCCTATGAGGAGGAAAAAATAATCAGTATAGGTTCTGACTGTTGTGTCTGTCCAGTTTACCCAACCAGAGAAACATGAGATGAAAACAGAAAATGCTGGAGAAACTTGGCAGCATCTGTGTAAAGAGGACAGAGTTAATGTATCAAGTGCAGTGAATGCTCTTAGCAACCTAATTCAGATATCCAGCATCCACATTATTTTTTCTTTATTGGAGAAACATGCGTGTTTGCTCACACAAGGCTGTGGTTAACGTGGCAGTCAGGCCTGGATGATACAGTTTAGGGCCCTGCAGCCCTGAGCAAGTATACCTGGAACTTTAATTTAAAATTGCACTGGGCAGAAAGAAAGTAAGTCATTTTCCTGCATCATTTTAATAGTCTCACTATCAGTTTTGTTTTTAATTCACTCGTGGGACGTGGTGGTCGCTGGATGACTGGAATTTGTTGCCATCCCTAATTGTCCTTGAAAAGATGAGTTGAGCTGCTTTCTTGAACTACTGCAGGCCATGTGCTACAGATAGACCCACAATACCATTAGGGAGGGAATTCCAGGATTTTGACCCAGCGACACTGTGGGAATGCAATATATTTCCAAGTCAGATGGGAATGGCTTGGAGTGGAACTTGCAGGGGGTCATGTTCCCATATATCTGCTGCCCTTGTCCTTCTGGATGGAAATGATTGTGGCTTTGGAAGGTGCTGTCTTCAGATCTTTGGTGAATTTCTGCAGCGCATCTTGCAAACAATACACATAGCTGCTACTGAGTGTCACTGGTGGAGGAAGTTGGATGCATGTGGATGTGGTGCCAATCAAATGGACTGCTTTGTCCGTAGAGTTCCCTCATTCCCCATATATTTTTGTAAATTTTTGTTCTAAACTACATCTGGAATGTTGGCAGCAGCTGAGTCACAGTATTTCAGTGGATCAAATATAGATTAACTTTGCTCCATTGCAATCTTGTAGCTATGAGGGACCTGAGGTATTAGTGCAATAATCACATTCTATTTGTGAAATAAGAGTTCAAGTTAATCTGTGACTAAATATGCAGCAAAAAATGTTTGCTAAACTGAGCCACATTTGCAAAGTTTATGACTCTGCTGTGTACTCTGGTTTAAACTAGAGGTTGGTATAATGCACAGAGTTCTGAAATCAGTGGTTCTTGTGGAATTGGATTCGATTCGTAGCCCAGACCACTGGATGCAAGACCTCTGCTCTTTGCGAAGGTCCTTAATTCTAATCAACTCAAAGGTCTGTAGCAAACTTAAATACAAGTTTGTCCAAACTTTGTTCATCAAACTTTGGGGCGGGACGGCGGCTCAGTGTTTAGCACTGCTGCCTCACAACTCCAGGGACCCGGGTTCGATTCCACAATCGGGCAACTGTCTGTGTGGAGTTTGCACGTTCCCCGTGTCTGCGTGGGCTTCCTCCGGGAGCTCCGGTTTCCCCCCTCATTCCAAAAAATGTGCAGACTAGGTGGATTGGCCATGCTAAATTGCCCGTAGTGTTCAGGGATATGTAGATTAGGTGAGTTGTGGTGGGATGGATCTGGGTAGGATGCTCCAAGGGTCGGTGTGGATTTGTTGGGCCAAAGGGCCTGTTTCCACACTGTAGTGATTCTATGCTGATGATGATCTTGCTCGTTTGCAAGCTGTCCACTTATAGCAAATATAATAAATATTTATAATAAAACAAAGAACTGAGGATGCTGGAAATCTGAAACAAAAATATAAATTGCTGGAGAAACTCAGCAGGTCTGGCAGCTTCTGCAGAGAGAAAGCAGAGTTGGCATTTTGAGTCCAATGCCCCTTCCTCAGATTTGATATTAACCAGGATAATGTAGTATATATGCTGAAGATAGGAGTGAGGTGGGCTGGTGGGGGGACAGGAGGAGTGTGGATAGGCGGAGATGGAGCCCAGTGAGGGAGAATGACCATTAGGCAAAGTGACAGCTGATAATATGCTAGAGAGAAAGAAACGCTGATAAAGGGTACCATTAGTCGGTGAAAATTGGTTGGCAAAAATACTTTCTCCCTGGCATATTCTCATCAAGTTGTTTCAGTTTGGACCCAATCTGTGTTATGCTTTTCATAAGAGATATGGTGCTGATGGTCTGTAACAAAATATTCCATTCCATTATGCTGACAAAATTCACCTGTTTTGGTTAAACAGAAATATTTGAAGTGTGAAATTAGATCTTTTGGATGACAACACCCTTCAGCCTAAACATCCTAAATGTCAACCTTGCTACTTCCCTATTACAGAATCTAGCTTTTCTTAAGTTAGCTCAATGTACTTGTCTCAACCATCCTCTGTTCCAGTTATATTTAGGACACATTTGTCCTAAACATACCTTTCGCATTCTGTGTTATCTTATCCAATACTCAATTATTTATCATATGTATGTATACATATCTCCATAAAATCCTCTCTGGAATGTTTCTGTTTGAAACTGAGATCAGACTGTTTTGTCATCAGATTGTTTTATGTTGGACAAATAATGCAAAAGGAACTGAATTTATTTTAACATCATGCATTAGACTTTTTTTCCTTGACTGCGTGGTTTCTGCACAATTCGCAATGATTATCAACTCAGGGAGACTGGGATTTTGTGGAGCCACCTCAATTGGGAAATCCAGGGAATTGACATATGTTGTCCAGTTCCTTTTATAAAGCAGTTGATCAACTAACAATTACAGATGGAGTTCAGTTTATATAACTTATTTTTATGGACAGGAGGAAACGTTTTTCCTCATTCTTAACAATTAAGAAATTCTTGGGAGTGGACCTGAGTATTTAAATTAACATGAATTGAGCAAGCTTCAAGAGGGATGTTGTTTATATGTATAGCAAGGCATGAAATATCATGGATATCCACTCATTGTTAAACTCATAACACAAGTACAAAATATCTTAACTTGCAAAGCCTTCTTATGTGGATGATTTCAAGTGTCTGAGCCTGTGACCTTGCTTGCCTGACACTCATTTGCAGTTTGCGCCTTGCTTTCCTTACATTGCCATCAGAGGTCTGTCTTTCAGTCACGATGCCAGTGCCTTCTGAAACTCTTCTCCAGATTGCTCTGCCCTGTCACTCCATTCAAAAGTGTCATTGCAAGCTCTTTCCTGAGAGAAAGTACAGAAACTACCACTGAGACTTATAAAAAATCTCTACTAAGCATCCTTATCTATCTACTGGGATCATGGAAAGAGTAACACCATTTTCTTTGAGCTTTAAGTGCTTAAAACCTCCTTTCTCATTGAAAATAATTTGCTATTATTGGGAATTTTGATGGATTGTTGCAACTTGCTCAGGGTTCACCATGCTTTGTCAGCCAAGAGCACAGTAGTAGCAATCAAGCTCCGTGCTCTGTTCACCTGATGTTTGCACACATGGGCTTCTATCAGTCGTTCCATAACTGTAATTTTTTTGCTTAGCAAAATATGATCAGTTTTGAAATTTTTAGGTGACCTCTAACATCAACAGCTTTTTGAGGTAGACTGTTCCAAGTTTACAACACCCTTAGTCTGAAGATTCCTTCCTGATATTACCCTGGAACAGCTTAGCTCCAGTACTAAGGCTATTTCTGTATATTTTTGCATATCCATCTGTGAGTGCTTCATACTGTATAATGGCTGTGATGTTCAGGATTCTGGGGCAATCAGCGCTGGACAATGCCTTCCATCGAAGGACATATGATTAGACTGGGACCTGGTTCAAGTAATCCAGGATAGGCTGTGTAGCTTATGGTTGGCCTATTCTTGATTACTTGCACTAGGGTACAGTCACGGTACACAGAATGTTGCATCTGAAGACCGAGGAACATCCTTAACTGCATGAAGCACAAACTAAATAATGCAAAGTAAATTGATATTTGAAAGCTATTTTTCCTTTCCTTATAAGGTATTTGCAAATGGGAGAAAAATACCTTTATAGAATTTGGTAATTTCTAATAAAGTAGATTGATGCTGATTGTCTGCTATGCTACCTAAATAAATTACAAACATCACTAAAGTAGGTTATTAAGTCATTATCTTATTGCTGTTTGTGGGATCTTGTGTACAAAAATTCCTACGTTGCAGCAGTGATTACAGTTCAAAGTCACTGTGGCTATAGAATGCTGTAGGACGTCCTGAGGTTGAAATAAGCATCTTTCTCACCAAAGTTTGGAACATGATTACCACTCCCCCCAACAGTATAACATAAACTTAAATAGACTATTACAATCTTCTTTATTGAAGTTCTTCAGGAGACTTTGTGTGACCACCAGAAGTAGTCAGAAATGGATGAGGTTTGCGATACAGCATATCAAAAAGTGTCTCCGTACTTGAGTTAGCATGTCAGCACCGTCATTTGTCAAAGGCTTAATCACCATGCAGAATACAGTAATACTTCCACAGTTGACGATACTCAGGAGATTACTTATTACCTAATTGTGACCCTGTGATGAGCCAAATTTACATTGGTTTGCAAAACGTTGAACTGTTCAGAGAAATGTTGAATTTAGTCGCAAGATAGAGCACACAGCCTAAGAAATGTAGCAGTAGGTCTCAGAAAATGCAGCAAATCACTGACATTGCTGTGTGCTAAACACTAGATTTCAGTGTACCAGGGACTGGCCTTTGTTGGATGAAAATGCACATACCGCGAAATGAACTTAGCTTTGGGCTCTCCTTGCTTGAATAAGTAAACTGCTTCTGGCTGTGTATAAATGCTTTCTATCCAGTTCATTACGAACTCTTTCCTGAGAGAAAGTACAGAAACTTATATAAAAAAAAAACTGGGGGGAAATCCAGCACCATTTCCCAGATGGTATATGGAGAATGTTCTCTAGTAGGTGGAATAAGGAAGACTCTTGCCTTTATCGGTATCAGGTGCCAAACCAAAAACCAAGGAGATCACTACCAAGCATCCTTATCTACCTACTGGGATCATGAAAAATAACGGTGTAACGTTGCAAAACTCCAATTCTTTCGCACTCCTAACAATCCATATTGAAGGAGGATCCTGATATTGTGGCCAGTAACTCTAAAATTTCATTTAATGTCACATTCTTACGTGCATCTGATCCAATCTTGATGACTTATCAACATCCAATCTTTCTAATGTTTCCCATTTATCCATATTTAACCCATCCAGTATGTTCATTGTTTTGATTCCTCAGTTCTGTCCTGACTATTTGGGTCTGTTTATTCAATTGTAGAGAAATAAAAGGTTATAAACATTTGGTACGATGATCCTTGACTCTGGTGTTTTCATGATGGCTTTAACAGCAGCATCTTCCTTGGAAATCAGTTCATTTAGTACTCAGCCATGCCTTCTGCCTCAGTGTGTAAATCTCTGTTTGGTCCTTAATTAACCCTTTACCATTTTTTTACTATTAAAAGACATTTAAGAGAGCTTCCAGCCAATTGTCAATCTTCCTTCATACCATTTCCTCGCTTCTCTTCTTTCTTACTGCCCCTCTGAACTTCACTCAGCCTGATCTTCACTTGAGTTATTATTCTGACCTCTGTCAACAAGTGGACAATATTAAGGTGAAAGGCAGGTGGTTTAGTAGGGATTTGAGGAAAATGTTTTTTCACCAGGGGGTGGCGGGCGTTTGAAATGCATTGCCTGGGAGGGAAGTAGAGATAGATAACCTCACAACCTTCAAAAATACTCAGATGAGCACTTGAAGTATTATAACATTAAGGCTATGGGCCAACTTTTGCAAAGTAGGACTAGTGTAGATTTAGAGTAGTGTTTTTTTTGTCAGTGTAGCGTTGATAGCTGAAGGTTCTCATCTGTATTGTGTGATTTTATGCACTCTTTTTCAATTTCATTGTGCTCTTCAGTACTTCACCATTTTGGGAAACATTTAAGCAAGCAGGCAAGAAAGTTTGCAAGAATATCTAGTTTATTTGTTGCAATTTTTGCAGTTGGTAGAAAACGGAATAAATTTGATTTGTTTGATGAATTGTTGAGCCGACTGTTTGCATTCACAGGTTTATGTATTGAAAAGGCCGCACGTCGATCTGTTTTTGCAAAAAATGGGGCAACTCTTTGAATGTGTTCTTTTTACAGCCAGTCTAGCCAAGGTAAGCATACAGCGATATCGAAATATTGTAAGCATCTGTTGCATTTGTATGACTCCGTATCGGGGAAATCAAAAGCATCGTTAGCATATGTATGCATTTTGTAAAAAGAAACTTGCGAAGTTAATTTGCGATCTTAACAATTTTTCCATTTTATTTGTTTCTGTTCTCCTTGTGCGTGTGTGTTTTTTCTCATCACTCTCTTGTCTGATGGCTTATAGCATGGGTAAGTCCATTCCCCCATGTATGGCAACACAGCTACCAGGGTCCTTGACTTGGTCCATGTGACTTTTTCAAGAATCTTGTGTGTGTTGCCATGACTGCTGTAGAAGTAGTGATGTCTTTGTTTTTAGCAAGTATCTGAACATGCCCATATAATTAGCTTTCCCAGCCCCATCCAGTGGTTCTGTTTTTTAGAACTACTGGAGTACAATGCAGTGTGTAGCTACAAATCCCATGTAATGAGAGAAATATTTGTGCTTCCCATCTCCTGCTTGTGTTTTAAATATGTGTACTTATCCAGAGCTGCCTTCGACACATTGTGTTCGCTGTGCAAGAGTAGAATGTCCTGATATTTTACCAGTGGAGCTGTGTGAAGGTTGCCCACTACATCCCAGCAAACTGGAACTTGTGGATGCTGTGTGGATATGGCAGAAAATTGTCACAACATCTAAGATTTATTTTGAGCCATCTTTACCAGTTTATGTTCTATGGTCCAAAACCAGGACATAAATAAAAAAGAGTCACTAATAAATCCAATAAAAATTTTACGAGTTTTCTTTTGCCCAGAGTATGGTTAAAATGTGGAACTCTCTGCCAAAAGGAGTAATTGAGGTATCATGGGTGCAAATAAAGGGAAAATTGATAAGGAGTAGACTGTAATGTGGGCAGCATTGAGATAAGAAATGGTGGAGCATTAGCTGTGGCAGGAACCATTTGCTCAGAATGCCCAGACTCTCCTCCATTATCTCAGTGTGCAAAATGCACTGCTGTCATTGTCATCACCGTTCTTTTCTTTAGGTCTTTGTATGTAAGATGTTACCTGCTGTCCTTCACAAAGTAAAACTTCAATCTTGTAGTATAGGCTAGCCCATGTTTGCCATGAGGGTTCACTGAATTGGTTCCCTGAATGAGTGGTGTCCACTGATAGGCTGAGTACATTCGGCCTGTACTCTGGAGTTCAAAAGAATGAAAAATGATCTCATTAAACATGCAAGATTCTGCTGCGTGAAAAAGAGTGCTGAAAACTTTTACCACGGTATTCATCCCTTGTGTGACAGACAAAAAACAGATACCAACTCAGAACTTAATTAAATAAGCCCTTTTTTCATTAACCTTTTAAGTACCAATACTTAATATGAAAGATACATTCATTGCAACATTTACTTCTTACTTCAACTTTAACTCATTTCCTTTAACTTAACTTTATCTTGAGGTTAAATGTGAATTACATTGAAACTAACTCTAACTTTAACTCTTAAGTTTAGCTTGAAACAAATACTACTCTGATTTGAGTGAAGTGGCCAACTTTGTTCTCTGTGTAGATCTAGCCTCATGGTTTTTGAAAGCAATTTCACAGCATACACTTCTCAAATGCAATCTTGAAGACTTCTAAGAAAATTCCTTTGTTCTGTTAACTTACCTGAAAATGTGCTCTGTTTCCAGAAACTTCGCTGGCATTCAGCCACTGAATTGATCAAAGCCTGATCACATTGTTCGATCCCTACCAATGGTATTTACTGAGAAGCAACTCCCAAAAGTTCACATTAAGTCCTAGACAGCCACATTCCATACTCCATATAAGGTAGTATGGTGGCCAGTCTGTCTAGAGACACCATAACATTTGCATTATTTGGTCAGCATGGGAAACTACAGGTCACAACATGTCCTGGCTGCAGTTTTAACTGAGGTCAGAGTTTAAACTAGCTTGACCAAAATTCCCAGCATGTTTGATTGTAACTCTTATCCAGTTTGATGGCCATTTCTGCTGCTGGTCACCTGACCATAACGGGCTTCCTTGGGTAAACAGTAGCTGGGAAATCTAGAACATAGCTGTAACCTCAGGATTCCAGGGATTGACGTATGAGGAGAGATTGGCTCGGTTAGGATTATTTTTCTGGAGTTCAGACGAATGAAGAGGGATCTCTTAGAAACTTAAAAATTCTAACAGGACTGGGCAGGGTAGATGCAGGGAGGGTGTTCCCAATGGTGGGTGTCTCCAGAACCAGGGGTCACAGTATGAGGATTAGGGGTAGACGATTTAGGATGGAGATGAGGAGGCATTTCTTCACCCAAAGAGTGGTGAGCCTGTGGAATTCATTACCACAGGAAGTAGTTTATGCCAAAACATTGGATTTATTCAAGAGGCGGCTACATATAGCACTTGGGGCGATTGGGATCAAAGATTATGGGGAGAAAGCTAGGTTAGGCTGTTGAGTTGGACGATCAGCCATGATCGTGAAGAATGGCGGAGCAGGCTCGAAGAGCCCAATGGCCGCCGCCTCCTATCTTCTATGTTTCTATAAGCGATTGATCATTTAGGACAGTGAAGAGAACTTTATTCATTTTAGTTGTGTACCCCAGAAGACAGTACATGTTCCATCATTGAATATTTTCAAGGTAGAGATAGACAGATTTTGATATCTCCGGGGACCAAGGGATTTACAGAGCAAGTGAAAAAATTGAGTTAAAGTAGCAGATCAGCCAAAGTTATATTTAATAGTGAAGTAGGGTCGAGGGTCTGTATGATTACTCATCCTATTTCTAGAGTTCTTCATGCTCCCTGCCTCCCCTAACTTTGTCACATTTTCATTGATTAAATACAGCTCGCCTTATTTTCAACGCGCATGTTAAATATAATTGGGAAAAGTCCCAAACATATTTAAGGGGGCTGCAGATAGTGGGCATCAGTGGGAAATAAGCCAGTTGTAACATGGCACTAATTTGGCCTCAGTTTCGAGTCCTGCTGAAATCTTTTCTTTCTCTCACTGGTCCCATTTATTTCAGAAAATGAGGACAAACTGAGAAGTGTCGAGAAGCTTTCTTATACCATGCATGTAGTGTGACCATCCTGAAAATACAGAGGAACCATGATTTTGAGTGCACAGACATTTGATACATTTAGTTGTCTTGTCGCCTTGAACCACATGCTTTATTTACTTACACCACTAGGAGACACTGTTGATTCAGCTTAACAGTGAGGTTGGAGTCACAGAAATGTGCCCTTCAGTTAGGAAACACTGCTGATTTGATGTTGAGTGTATTAACAGAAGAGATTTTGTCAATATAAAATCGTCTGCATTTCAATTATTCAATGATTCAATGATTGTCATGTGTAATAGATTAGTGAAGATCTGCTCATTACTGTCAGCCCTTGCTTATTTGGTCAGAGGAGAATGTGGATTACAGCAGTTCTGTTAATATTTCGGTACAAACTTGAAATGTAACACTGCACTTTTGTGAATTTGATGTGAAAACATAATTTCAGTACATGAATGAAAGTTAAACGTTCAGATTCTATCTGGTGTCACCTTGCCTATGAACCGATTTAACAACAGAACCGGTCAACACATTAAAGCCAAATATCGAACAGATTATTTTTGATTATTTTGACAATGCGCAGATAACTCACTGTCCAGTTAGAAGTTTTATTTGTTTTAAAGTGGATGTGTCAGCCATTGAGCTCTAACTTACTTCGTTTATCCTGCCTTTTCAAAGTATGCAGATCCAGTGGCAGACTTGCTGGATCGCTGGGGAGTATTCAGGGCCAGGCTCTTCAGAGAATCATGCGTTTTCCACCGAGGAAACTACGTGAAAGATCTCAGTCGGTTAGGAAGGGACTTGAGCAAAGTCATTATAGTGGATAACTCGCCTGCATCCTACATCTTCCATCCTGAAAATGCAGTGAGTATTCTTTTTCATAACAGAGCACACTACATTTCCAAGTTGCTCTTTTTATTTTACAGGGACTGAATAAACCGCATCTCATTCAAGATGTGTCAGCATTCAAGAATATGCTCAGGAAAATAATGCAGGACCCACCTCCTCACTACATAATCATAATCATAAGTCTTTTCAGCCTGGTTTTAACCAACCTTATCTAAGCAAAGGAGAACAACACTTGCTTCTTGAGACTCCATGTACAAGGTGTTCAATGCTACTACTGTTAGAAATGTTGAGAAGTTCGCAATGCAAAACAAAGAATTTGACCTATCTGATCTGTGCCTAATGAGGAAAAAGCTATCTGGTTTAATTCCACATTCCACCTCTTTAATACGGGAGGGTTACTACTTCAGCAACCTATTTTGGACAGTGAGTTTCAAAACCCACCATCTACTAGGTGGAGAAAAAAAATCTCCTTGTCTCTCCTCTAATCCACCTACCTATTAGTTAAAAAATCTGTACCCATTAATTATTGTACTCTCTGTTAGGGAAGAGAAAGGTTCTTCCTGTCCATCATACCTAAGCCCCTTATAATTCTGTACACCTCAATTAAATTTCCCATCAGCCTTCTGTGTCCAGAGAATTCATAACAGTTGCCTTTCAGCTAAAATTCTCCATTCCTGGCAACAACCTCTGCAAACCTCTGACTAGAGAAAAGGGAGTCAGCAGTGGATAAACAGTGGGCCAAGACTGGGACTCCAACACTTCAGGTTCAACTGAGCAGAGAGAGGGGGGAGTCAGCAGCACAATAAGTTGGGGCCTAGGATTAAGGGAGGGATGACCTCGTTTAACACCTGTAGCTTCAGGGACTACTGTTTGGGAAAACAAATCAAATACAGGTAATTGTGTTGATTGGTTTGGGATTTTGAAAAGTGTATGTATTTGGAAGAAAGGATCGAATGAGGGGAAAAAAAGGAATAGATGAAAGTCAATATAAGAAATTAAGTTTAAAAAAAAAGTAAGGGAAGTAGTTAGTGTAAGGCAAGTAAGTTAATAAGTATTCTTATATAAGCATAATTTTAAATTTTTTTTTAGAAAAGGGAGTAATTGAGGGACTTAAAGGAAGTTATGCAGCAGAGCTTATGCCTGTGATATTCTCCTCCTTAGCTATGTGGCAAATTAGGGAAGGTTCGGTTGTCCCTGGTGACCACGTGCAGGAAGTGTGTCCAACTGGTGAACTGTATTTCAGATATGAAACTGGGTGAATCTGTGATTCTGGATTCAGGGAAAGCACATTCAGTGAGATAGTCACGCCGCAGGTAAAGACTGAACAGGCAGAAAGGACATGGGCAGAAAGGCAGAGTAAAGGACAGCAGGTAGTGCAGAACTTCCTTGTAGCTATCCCACATTCTAACAGATATACTGTTTTCAATGCTTTTGGGGGAGATGACTATGCAAGGGACCGCAGTGGAAGCCAATTTCATGGCACCACGGGTGGGACTGCTGCATAAGAGGAGAGGAAGAAGAATGGAAGGCTATAATGGTAGGGGATTCAAGTGTAAGGGAAACTGACTCCATGCGGGTATGTTACCTCCATGATGTCAGGATCAGGAGTGTCATTGAATGGCATTCTGAAGGAGGACAGCAAAAAAAAATCATGATACATATTGGTATCAAGGACATAGACAGAAAAAAGGATGAAGTCATATGAGCAGAATTTAGAGAACTAGGAAGTAGATTAAAGAACAGGACCCAAATGGTAGTCATCTCTGGACTACCTCGGGTGCTACGTGCTAGTGAATCTAGAAATGGGAGGTTAATCCAGCTGAATGTATGGGTGAAGAGAGGATGCAGGAGAGGCAGTTTTAGATTATTGGGGCATTTGGACTGTTTTTGGGGCCAGTAGGACCTGTACAAAGTGGATGGGTTGCACCTGAACAAGAATGGGACCAGCATCTTTGCAGGAAGATTTGCTAGTACCGTTGAGGCTGGTTTAAATTAACTTTGCAAAGGGTGGAATCCAGAGAGAATGTTCAACAGGGGGTAATGAATGGCCAAATTAAAAGAGACAGCAACTGAGTCAAGAAGCATAGAAATTATTGGCCAGTCGAGGCATAAGACAGTTTGGCAAGGTTGGATAGTATTTATTTTAATGCAAGGAGTCTGACAAACAAGGTAGATGAGTTAAAGGCACAAATTAAAACATGGGGGTATAAATGTTATTGCTGTCACTGAGACATGGCAAGGGGGGGCCAAGATTGGCAGCTCAAAATTCCAGGGCCTTGAGGCAAGATAGGACAAGAGGTGAAAGAGTAGGGAGTGTCACAGTATTGATCAGGGAATCAATTACAGCAGTAAAGAGGGATGACATAAGATTATAAGACATAAGTGCAGAACTAGGCCATTCAGCGAATCGGGTCTGTTCCACAATCCGATCAAGTCTGATATGTTTCTCGACCCCATTCTCCTGTCTTCTCCCCATAACCCTGGTTCCCTTACTAATCAAGAACCTATCTATCTCTGTCTTAAATACACTTAGTGACTTGGCCTCTGCGGCACCCTTCACTCTGAGGTCATGTCCTTGAGTCCTAGTCTCTCCTATTAGTGGAGACATCTTCTCCATAACCACTCTTTATCCAGGCCCCTCAATATTCTGAAAGTTTCGACCAGAATCCCCATTCATCCTTCTAAGCTCCATCAAGTACAGACCCAAGAGTCCTCGACCACTTCTGATATGACAAACCCTTCGTTCCCAGGATCATTTTTGTAAACCTCCTCTGGACCCCCTCCAATGCCATCACATTCTTCCTTAAATATGGGGCCCAAAATTGCTTACAGTATTTCAAATGTGGTCTGACCGGAATGTTACACAACCACAGCAGTACATCTCTGTTCTTAAAATGAATGCTGACAAAGCATTTGCCTTCTTAATTGCCAGCTAAACCTGCTTGTTAATATTAAAAGGATCCTGAAGCAGGTTTAGTTGGCATCTCTTGCATTTCCCACACTTCTGCCCTCAAACCCCATCCTCCCAACAAAAATAAAGACAGAGTCCCCCTGGTCCTCACATACCACCCCACCAACCTCTGCATCAAGCACATCATCCTCCGCCACTTCTGCCACCTACAATCCGACCCCACCACCAAAGAGATATTTTTCTCCCCACTCCTATCTGCCTTTCATAGGGACTGCTCACTCTGCGACTCCCTCGTCCACTCCACATACCCCATTAACGCCACCATGCTCAGCACCTTTCCCTGCAACCACAGGAAGTACTACACCTGCCCCGCACACGCGCACACACACACAAAGCACACGCACACAAAGCGTGCACGCACACACACAAAGCACACGTCTCCTACCCGACAGGGGTTCACCGGTACATCCGCCACCCTGACGTCCTATATCTGTTGCTCCCAGTGTGGCCTCCTGTACATCAGTGAGACCAAGCACAGACTCGGTGACAGATTTGCGGAGCACCTGCACTCTGTACGCTATAATCAACAACGCCTCCGGTCGCTAACCGTTTTAACTCCCCCTCCCACTTCCTGGGCCACCTCCGGTGCCACAATGATGCCACACATAAATTGGAGGAACAACACCTCAAATTTCGCCTTGGGAGCCTACAGCCTCATGGCCTAAACATGGATTTCACCAGTTTTAAAATCCCCCACCCCTGGCCTCATCCCATGTCCAACCCTCCTCCTCATCCCTGCCTCCTTGACCTGACACTACCTGTCCATCTCCTTCCACACCTATCCACTCCACCCTTCCCACTGACCAATCCCGACTACCCCTACCTGTGTCCACCTATCGCTATCCCAGCTTGTCTTGCCCCAGCACCACCCCTCTTGCCTCTTTATTTTCCAGCTCCCTCCCCCCTCCCGGTGAACAGTCTAGGCCTGAAATATCGACTCTCCTACTCCTCTGATGATGCCTGACCTGCAGTGTTCCTCCAGCTCCTTGCTGTATCGACTTCTGAAGAAGAGCCCTGAACCCGAAACATTAACTCTGATTTCTCTCCACAGGTGCTGCCAGACCTGAGTATTTTTTCCAGCAATTTCCTTTTTTGTTTGACATATCCTGAATCCAGGCACCAGGCAAGCAACTCAGCCTACTGGATTCTCAATCCTGGTCACAGAGTATCTTAAAAGGCTTCTCAAATAAAGCCATGTGGATGGAACTTAGAAAAAGAACAGTCACATTGCTGGCAGTGTTCTGTAGGCCACCAACAGTCCGAGAGAAATAATAGAGCAGATATGTGGGCAAATTTCAGCGGTGTGTAAAAGTAATAGGGTAGACTAAAGCATAAAAGGCTATGGGTCAAGTGCTGGAAAATAGGATTAGAATAATTAGGTGGTTGTTTTTATCCAGTGCAGAGTTGATGTGCCAAAGGGCTGCCTTGCGTTCTGTAGACTTTGACTCTATAATTCTCTGTACATGTTTCATACACCAAATAAAAGTAAAATACTGTGAATGCTTCAAATCTGAAACATTCTTTTTCTCTCAAGGAAAAGGTTTTGAAGAAGACGTATTGAACTCAGTGTTAACTCTGTTTCTGTCTCCGCAAATGCTGCCTGACCTGTTGAGTTTCTCAACGTTTGTTTCGTTCTCCAGTATCTGCATATTGAAATCTCCGTCTTTTACTGCCTGTTTGCAAAGGCTTTATTGTAAAGTACAAACATCAGTTTCTACTTCTCCCTGTCCAGTAGGGACACACTGCTGAGGAAGAACTCAGATCTTCATTTAATTCAGTGGAACCAGATTTACCTGCGTAAAGTGATCACAGCCAGACCCGAACTTGCAATCATCTGATAACAGCACTTACCATACCAAAGTCATATGCTGTTAGAATATGGTAACAGCCCAAGAACTCCAGCTGTATTTTTATTTCTTTAAAGTAATGAGCCACCAAATTAAGCAATCACCCAGTGAGCAAATGACAAGCACTGCCCATCAAAGGCAATGTAAAGAATTCAACTTTTTTCTTCACCAAATTAACCAATCAGCCAGTGAAGAAA